TTACCAGGTTTCAGCTATCACTGGGAAAGGATCATACGAGTTGGAGAACCAAAACAGAGACAAGTTGCCTTGCAACTGGAATGTGTCTCACCTCAAAAGATATTACTGTTGATGAACAACAGTCAAACGAAAAGTATGTGTTGCACTCTTTTTCCCTTCGTTCAGTTTTTGTCCCAATTGGGTTTTTTTGGCAAGGTTTTTAACGAGGCAGTGACGGAAAGCATACTACGAAGACAGAAATGATAAGACCTTTGATAACAAGGCAAGCAAGTAATTTTCCACTCGGGGACGATTAGATAATCTTTGCTTCAATAGCAAATTCCCACCAGGAAGGTATGTTTGCTACCGAAAAAAGGTTACCCGATCGTTCACGAGCACAAACCACTAGAGGATTGTTAGGTATTCTTTCGCTCGATAGCATGGGTTCCTAATGGGAAATAGGATATGTTGCCGAGTGAAGGATCACCTAGCAATTCATTGGTGGGATCTTCGAAGATACAAGGCTTCCAGTATTTCAATTCGCATTCTTCGCATTTGAACACTGGGGGAATGATATGAGGTTACGGAAACACTGCATGCCAGGCAACACTGAATGCCACGTCAACCGGGGAACGTAAATATAGAATAGAATACATCATCGGGACCGGGGATTGCGCATCCAGCCCCGTAGAAACAAGTTGTACAAGATAGCCACAAGTCATGGCAATTTCTTTTCTTCATAGCAAAATGCTTATGTACGTTTGAAAATAGAAGGAATTAAATGGAATGAAATCCTTTTGTTTTTATCTTGTTTCTTGTCTGAAAGATGATTAATTTTACCATTTGAAAGTTAAACAAGTGCTTCAAATGTTTGTGCCGTAATGAACAAGAGACGTCCTCTTCAAGAGCACCGTAAATATAAGAGGTCCCTCTCTTATAAAAACCCTCATGCTAAAGGGTTGGTTCCGGAAGAATCAATTCCCGAAATCCATAATGCCATCGAGAAAAAAATACACCCGAAGCTGCATACGCAAATACTTGTTCAAACCCTCATGTAAAAGGGATAATTCTCGAAACCAAAATGCTTCGAAGAAAAAGCATCAGAGATTATACATAATAAAGCGCGAACAGAACAACATGCGCAGAATACTTAAGCAAGTACGAAAGTTAAAGACTTGCATGAATATTTAAAACGAAAATAAGACTCAAACGATACTTGAGCAAAAAATATGTTTTTATTTACAAGGGTGCGTTAGAGTGATAAAGGTATAAAATAGAAAAAGAAAGAAAAAGCTAAGTTACAGCGTCTCCGGAATTAGGAGGAAGAGAAGTATCCGCATCCCCGGGAGTTGGTTCCACCGATGGCTCAAAATTTTCCCCATCTTGGTCTTCGGCATCATCACCTTCCGATCCCTCTTCAGTTTCCAAAAACTCGAAACCGGAATCAGAAGAACCTGGAGCGTCAAACTGTGCCGGGAGTCCTTTTTTGCAGCCAACTCAAGCTCTCGGGCCTTAGCAATTTTGGCATCAATGTCAATGATACCAGTTTTGGCCTCTTCCAAGGTTTTTCTCCTCATGCTATATATGGAATAAGTTTTTCAACAATGAGGGAAGTCGCTCGGTGCTTGAGTTCTTCTTTGAGTTGAGTAATTTCGGGCGGAAAGGTTTTCCCGGGCGGACCTAGCAGATTTGAGACTGACATCGAGCTCACGGGCAATTGAACTATATAGCCTATTATGCTCATTAGTTTTCCTGTACTTCTCCTCCAACTAGGCATGTTTCGCCACCACAGCAGCAAGCTCTTCACTTTTGGAGTTTAAGGCTGCTTCCAAATTAATCACTCTTTCAGCGGAGGCAGCCTCGCGCTCGATTGCAGCAAGAATGGCGTTCTGGACTTCTGCCCATTTAGCCTTGGCTTCATCAAATATAACCCTCAGAGGCCCAATTTCTTGGCTAAGGGTCCCTACTTCTTGCTCGCTCTGCTGCAAATGGGCCTCCAAAACAACGGCCTCGGTAGCCTTGATTTCCAGTTCCGAAAGGCGGAGAATAGTCTGGTCCCGTTCCGCCAAAAGCTAATCCCATTTAGAAGTAAGTTCTTCCTTCTCACGAATCAGCCTTTAGAGGCCCTCAGAAGCCAAAAAGTTGGCCTACAAAGCAAGAAGAGGTAAAACTTAGAGTACATTTGTTCAAAAGTAGAAGAAATAATAGAAGAAGAAATGAATGTACCGTTGCGACGTTATGCATAGCATTGTTCAACAAACACTCTCCCGAGAGTGTCTGAATCTTCTCCCAGTCTTTTTCTGAAGCCAAAGGCTTCAGATAGTTAGCAAGATCCACCGGTCTCGAAAGCAAGTTGCACCCGGTGGAGACCGAAAGGGTAATACTCCTCATCCTTTGTGGATCTTCAGAGGGGGCAGCATAATTTTGCCCCAAATTCCCATGAACTGGGGACTGTGGATGAGGGGAACCTTCTTCATGGTCATGCGCGACCAATGGAGATGATGTAGCAACCGCTGTTGGAAGAGTGGATGAAGATGGGAATGATGTAGAAGTTGCTGGTGATGGTGAAGGTGGAGATGAAGCTGATGAAGTGGAAGAGTGAGAAACAGCTACATCAAATGCAGTGTTGGTTATTTGATGCTCGCCAACCAAAGACGGCATGGACTCGGTACTCAGCCTCGCAGTACCGGTTACATCAATTGGGGCCCGAGAGCGGGAATTGGCATTATCTACCAAATCAAAGTTTTCCCAAAGTGCTGAGATGTCATCTTCAGCTGTTGCAATTGTCTCAACAGGTCGAGCATCCTGTTGAGATGATGAGGATCGTATCCTTCTATGTAAAGAAGCCCTCTCATCACTAGATTCTTCATCATCTTCGATCATCACAGTGTCTATGACCGGCCCGAAAAGAGGACCAATCACTATCGCCACCGGAGATGATTCAGGGGCATCAACCTTTTCCATCTTGTTCTTTTCCCCGGCCGCAGAGGAGCGTCTCCTTTTTGGTTGCTTGTTCTCTGGCCGGGGACTCCGTAAAGAAACACTTGCGCCCGAAGCAGGCCCGGAGACGCCTGTTCGAGTAAGTGCCTCCTGAAGCAACCTCGTCGCATCAGCAGGGTAAGCCAAAACATCCTCCTCGTGGACATTAACGGAGCCCGCAAGTAGACCTAATTTCATGAGCAAGTCAGAAGTGTTCAATCAAGTTCTTTATATACAAAAAGTGAAAACGAGGTAAATTAAAGTTACCATGATTTTTGGCCTTCCACCCGTACTTAATGGACAGTTCTTTCCACAAACGGGTTTCGGGCGTTGTGATGTCCAAGATCTTTTGAACCCACCGGTCCAAGCCTTCTATCACCGGTGGGATCCATCGAGTCGCAGTAACAAACGAATTTTGAAGGATCAATACAAGCATGAAAGAATATTTAGCAAGAAAAGATGTATTAAAGAGAATTTACGAGAGCGGTTCCAAGCAACCGAAAAGGATGATGTCGTTGTTGGAATAATGTCACTGGTGGCAACTGCAACGAACCGTTCCATCCACCCACGGTCGTTGTCGTCGTCCATGCTAGACAGCAAAGCATGGTGGCCACGCTTGCATAGGTTTATCATTCCCCCGCGGAAGATTTTGGGGGAATAGAGATTCATCATATGATCTAGGGTTAGTTCCTCTCCAGTTTCTAGGCACAGACGTCGAAGGCAGACAACCGTCCTCCACACTGAAGGACTTACCTGTGCCAAACACACTTGGTAGCGAGGCAAAACTCCGCAATCATGGAATCAAGCTCTCCGCTCAAAGAAAACGCACCCATAGTAAAGGGATACATGAAAAAATACGTGAAAAACATGTGCGAGGGTTAGCAGTAGGAAGTTTCTCTTCAAAATCCTTCGAAGTATTAAGCCTTATTGGGATGATGGAACCCACAATTAGAGGAATGGAATCCTCGGTTTTGTTCTTGCCTTTTGAAGAACTAGCACGTATTGAAGAGGAAGCCATTGGAATAGAAGGAAGGAAAATTTCTGGTTCGAAGAAGATTAGAGAAAAGTTGGGAAATAAAGATGCAAATTAGAAGTTCGAGAGATTATAAAGTACATAAGAGAAGGATGATGCGTATAACTAAAATTTTGGCGGCTAAATTCATGGCCACGATTACCTCGATAATCTCTGTAAAAGGCGTGCTAAATCATAGGAAGACACGTGTTCGGGGCATTAAATGCAGAGAGACATGCGTCTAATCAACCGTCAGTGGCCTTCAAAAAGAGTTATAGTAATTCCCGCCAAAAGAGTGTTTCTACTAACTTTCCGGTAACACAAAGTTATGTCACCGAAAAGCAGGGGGACTATTTGTATAGGAAAAAAATATGACATAACACGTGGTCGCTTAAAGGAAGGACACGTGGAACACAAGATGGAGATGGCCACTGAACATAGCTATTTCGCTTGTCACCGGAAGGAATAATGATCATAAAAGGAGTATTAAATGCTTTGTGCTTGGTAACATTTAATACGAAATATTTTACAGCATTAAGGATGATGAACCGTTACAAGGAATTTGGCATTTATGTCTAACGTTACATCTTCATCAATGGCCCTCATAATTGACATTAAAGAAGGGCATGATCCTAGGACCTCCGTCCCTAGAGATAGCTATAAATAGAGAGCTAAGTTATCATTGTAAAGGGGAAATTTCCTGGCTAACTTACGCTACATTCTATACAGCATTTTAATACAACTTTATTCTCTCGCTTTTGATCTTATCATTGTTGTGCCCGGAAACCTTGTTCCCGGACTCATTAGCTCTGATGTTTCGTCTATATTCTAAAGCTAAGTATTTCATATTTTATCAGTTATTTCATTACTTTTTGGATCAAATTAATTCACTTGTGTAGAAACTACGAACAAATTCGACTGTACCGTTTTTCGGCTAAACAATATTTTCTCTTATATAAGAAGCGAGAGTTTAGGTCCTTAAGAAGTCTGAATCATCAACAAGCCTGACCGTCCATTTTCGGGCATTTTGGTCATTTCAGATTTCTTCTATTAAAGCATCTCCTATTAAAACACTAGATTCCGATAAGTTTCACCGTTTAACTTTTCTGCTCTTGCATCTATCCCCATAGTTGTTCTGCTTCTTCTGATATTCCGTTGTTCAGTACGCTTTTTGTTTCCCGCTGACGCAAGAAAAAACCCAGGTTGAAATCGGTTGCCACTGGGTTCTTCGCTGCTACACCCATTAACTGGTCAGTTTACACTTTCTACTAATTTTTTTCTTTCTTCCATTTATAATTTTCCCTTAGTAATTCTACATAACGGTCTTAATTTGTACTCCAATTTGCCTTCTCTGGTTAAACTATGTCAGTGATTTAGGAATTTCTTCGTCTGTGTTTTTTCCCCTTTTTTGGTGGAGCTTTGGTGTTGTTTCTTATCACCGTGAAAGAGCTGTTTGTAATTCTAGGACAAAGGGAAAGATCAAGATGGTTAACTTGTGGGTATCTGATGAGCATCTTTGTCAAGTCTACTGACCTTAGGGTCTCAAGATTTTCGTATGCTGAGATTCAACCGTATAACAAGACTTGCAAACAAGAGAGAATGATTTTTTGTAAATTGGGTTGTCATTAAGAAAATCAGGAATTGAAAAGACAATTAAGTTATTGCATTTGCATGCATTTTTCTCATAATTCTTGAATCGTTACTTCTCCACGTGAATCTTTTAGTAGCTTTTTATATATACCCAAAATTGATTGCATAAGAAAACATGTGATGTTTTAAAACAAGTTTGTTTTGTTTTAGGTTCATGTTGCTGATGTTTTTAGTTCTTCATAAGGCCTGTCTGTTGGTATCGAATCTCTAATTTTTGTTGAAAAAGGTATATATTGTTAGACTGAAACTTTTTAACTCAAAGTTTTGTTCCATAAGTTGTGGATTAAATGATTTCATTTAGTTGAATATGCATTTTCTTATGCTTCTTGGTCTTGGATCTGAACAATTCCAATAAAATGTTCTTGTTCGCACTTAATTTGGACTAAAATGTTATTATTGGTAATAATACATTGGTCAGTATTAGACGCTTAATAATAGGTCAATCATCTTATGTAACTAGAAGGGGGGCCAAGAAGAATGCATTGTGTAATGGATGCTATCCCGACTACTTCTATTAAACTTGGAGGTGTAGCTCCCACATAAAGTTGATTTTCCAATGGACAACTATTGGAACTCTAGGGATCACAAGTGCAGTATTAAGATTGGAGTTGTAATACTAATATAAAAAATAGCAAGTATATATTGCTCGTAGAAAAAAGTATGTAATGTAGAAGAAGATAACCATAACAAATATGACTTGGCTTTTCCTTTATCTTGACAATATTCCAATCGCGATCCAACACAAGACATTAGTTAACACAAAAAATCAAGCGAATAAATATCGTTGCACAACCACTTTGATCATCCCAAACACAAAGTCTATATGCATTTACATACCATTCACATATTTTACCACCACAAGAATATTTAGTTCTGTTGTCATTATACATGAGAAATATTTCCCAATAATCAGCTAATCCCATTGCACACCACGTTGTACTCTTGTTTGTTTTCAAATCTTGATGTAGATTAGCAGTACCGTGATTATAAATACGAAGCTCTGTGGTTTTGTCAATGGAGGTTACTGAAATTGAACAAACAATTACCTATCGGGTCGTCACATTCTCCACCTCTAAAAGAAATGTTCGTCCTCGAACGAACATAGAAAAGTACCTGATTTGGTGAAAAAGTGTGGGTATCTACTCCGCATATTGGACTCGGATTCCCATGTAGCTGCCTTGATCGGCTATCTCTCCATTGCACTTTCATAGAGGGAAAACTCCTAGATTTCAACTTTCGAACCTGTCGGGCTAGAATAGCCACCAGCTCTTCCTCATAGGCTGAATTCTCATCAAACTGAACCGTGCTGAAGTCCAAAACATGTGGCAGATCACCATAATACTTCCGGAGCATAGAAACATGAAACACTGGGTGAACACCCGATAGTCTAGGTGGCAATGCAAGTCTGTAGGTCACCTCCCCAACTCTCTCTAACACCTCAAAGAGGCCAATATATCGAGGGCTCAACTTGCCCTTCTTCCCGAACCTCATCACACCTTTCATGGGTAAAATTCTGAGAAACACTTTCTCACCTACCATATATGCAACATCACGAACCTTCCGATCAGCATAACTCTTTTGTCTAGACTGTGCTGCACGAAGCCTATCCTGAATCAACTTGACTTTCTTCAAGGCATCCCGAACCAAATCAGTGCCCAACAACCTAGCCTCTCCCGGCTCAAACCAGCAAACTGGAGAACGACATTGTCGCCCATATAAGGCCTCATAAGGAGTCATATGAATACTTGATTGGTAGTTGTTATTGTAGGCAAACTCCGCAGCGGTAAGAATTGATCCCATGAACCCCCGAAATCCATAAAATAGGTGCGTAGCATGTCCTCCAAGATCTGAATGGTGTGCTCGGACTGCCCATCCGTCTGGGGGGTGAAATGGTGTACTCAACTCAACCCGCGTACCTAACTCACGCTGCACAGTTCTCTATAAATGCCATGTGAACTGTGTGCCTCGATCGGAGATAATAGACATCGGCATGTCATGAAGACGAACAATCTCCCAGATATAGATCTGAGCCAACTGCTCTGAAGAATAGGTATTCACAACCGGTATAATATGTGCAAACTTAGTGAGACTATCCACAATAACCCACACTGCATCAAATTTCTTCAAAGTTTGTGGGATCCCAACAACGAAATACATGGTAATATGCTCCCACTTTCACTCGGGAATCTCAAGTCTTTGAAGCAAACCGCCCGGCCTCTGGTGCTCGTACTTTACCTGTTGACAATTCAAACATCGAGCCACATACTCCATTATATCTTTCTTCATTCTTCTGTACCAATAGTGTTACCTCAAATCCTGATACATCTTGGTGGCACCCGGATGAATGAAATACCGCGAACTGTAGGCCTTCTCCAGAATAAACCCACACAACCCATCCACACTAGGCACACAAATCGGACCTTGCATCCGTAACACCCCATCATCTCTAATAAAAACCTCCTTGGCATCACCGCGTTGCACTGTGTCCTTAAGAACAAGCAAATGAAGGTCGTCATACTGACGTGCTCTGATCCGCTCATACAAAGAAGACCGAGAAACCACGCAAGCAAGAACCCGACTAGGCTCCGAAATATCTTACCTCACGAGCTGATTGGCCAAAGCCTAAACATCCAATGCTAGCGGTCTCTCACCAATTGGAATATATGCAAGGCTACCCATACTCTCAGCCTTTCTGCTCAAGGCATCGGCCACCACATTGGCCTTCCCAAGATGGTACAAAATGGTAATATCATAGTCTTTTAATAGCTCTAACCACCTCCGCTGCCTCAAGTTTAGATCCTTTTTCTTAAACAAGTGTTGTAGAATCCGATGATATGTGAATACCTCACACGACGCGCTGTAGAGATAATGCCTCCAAATCTTTAATGCGTGCACAATGGCTGTCAACTCTAAATCATGAATGGGGTAGTTCTTCTCATGGGCTTCAGCTAACACGAAGTATATGTAATCACCCTACCCTCCTTCATCAAGACACATCTGATGCCAACCCGCGGAGCATCACAATAAACTGCATATGAACCCGATGCTGACGACAAAACTAGAACTGGAGTTGTAGTCAAAGCAGTCTTGAGCTTCTGAAAGCTCAACTCACACTCATCAGACCATCTGAAAAGAGCATTCTTCTGGGTCAACTTGGTCAATGGGGCTGAGATAGATGAAAACCCTTCCACGAACCAGCGATAATAACCCGCCAAACTCAAGAAGCTCCGGATCTCTGTAGCTGAAGTAGGTCTAGGCTAGTTCTGAACTGCGTCAATCTTCTTAGGATCCACCTTAATGCCCTCCGAAGATACAACATGGCCGAAAAACGCAACTGAGTCCAACCAGAACTCGCACTTTTAAAGCTTGGCATATAACTGACTATCCCCCAAGGTCTGAAGTACGATCCGAAGATGTTGCTCATGTTTCTCTCAACTGCGGGAGTAGACCAAAATATCATCAATGAAGACGATCACAGAAAAATTCAAATAGGGCTTGAATACCCGATTTATCAAATCTATAAATGTTGTTGGGGAATTTGTCAAACCAAATGACATAGTAGGAACTCATAGTGACCATACCGAGTCCGAAAAGCTATCTTAGGGACATTTTGTAATGACCCAATCGGTCATTTTGACTTTTAGAACTTCGTTCCCCTAAATAAAACTTTTCGTATATGCTTTTATAAATTTATGACTTGCGGGGATGGTTGGTTCGGGATTTGGAAGTGTTCGGGTTGAAATCGGAACACTTGATTCCTTAAGTTGGCCTTAAAATGCTAAGTTTGACTTCGGTCAACATTTTGAGAAAACGACCTCGGAATAGAATTTTGATGATTCAAACAGCTCTGTATGGTGATTTTGGACTTAGGAGCTTGTTCGAAATTTTATTTGGAAGTCCGTAGTTAAATTAGGCTTGAAATGGCTAAAATAGGAATTTAATTTTGAAAGTTTGACCGGAGAATTGACTTTTTGATATCGGGGTCGGAATCCAGTTTTGAAAATTTTCACAGCTCCGTTATGTCATTTATGACATGTGTGCAAAATTTGAGGTCAATCGGACTTGATTTGATAGGTTCCGACGTCATTTGTAGAAATTGAAAGTTTCAAAGTTCATTAAGCTTGAATTGGGGTGTGATTTGTGATTTTAGTGTTGTTTGATGTGATTTGAGGTTTTAAATAAGTTCGTATGATATTTTAGGACTTGTTGGTATATTTGGTTGAGGTCCCGAGGGCCTTGGGTGAGTTTCGGATGGTTAACGGATCAAAAGTTGGACTTAAAAAGCTGTTGCAATTTTCTTATGCTGGAAATGCAGAAATCGAAGCCCAGAAATCGAGCCCAGGGTCAAAGGCCAGGGTCGAAGACAAGGACGAGGCTCAGGATCGAAGTCCCAGCTCGAGGGCCATAATCGAAGGCAATGCTCGAAGGCCCAGGATCGAGGGCCATAAAGATCGAAGGCATGATCGATGGCTGCCTTGGCAGTTTATAAAACTGGGGATTTCATCCCATTTTCCATTTTTGACGAACTTGAGCTTGAACAGAAGCGATTTTTGACAGATTTTCAAGGAAAAATATTTGGGTAAGTGATTCTAACTCGGATTTGGTCAATATACACAAATATATCATTATTTTCACCATTTAATTAGTGTATTGAGATGGAAACTTGGGAAATTTTTAGAAATCTCATAAAAATGAATTTTTGAGATTTCGGTGTCGATTTAGAGTCTGATTTGAGTGAAACTGGTATGGTTGGACTCGTAATTGAATGAGTTGTCGTATTTTATATGTTTTGCCGGATTCCAAGACATGGGCCCCACAGGCAATTTTTGGACTAATTTAGGATTTTATTGAAAAATGTAGTATTTTCTTATGGTATTGATTCTATAATTTTTGTTGACTATATTGCATTAATTATGACCAGATACGAGTTGATTGGCGTCGGAAAGTCGAGGAAAAGGCATACTACATGATTAAATTGAAGCAAGTCGAGGTAAGTGACTTGTCTAACCTTGTGTAGGGAAAATTTTCCCTAGGATTGGTATTAATGTGAAAATTAAAATGTGTTGAAAGTCATCTACACGAGGTGACGAGTGTGTAAATGGGCTAAATGTGAAAGGTTATGTCTTTAAATTGTGTAGATCGCTGTTGCATATTAATTAAATAATTTTACCTTGTTATATTCTTTATCATTGATTTAAATGTTTATATTTTAAATTTGCTTGACCTTTTCCTGCTAATTATTTTACCTGTTTAGTTGAAACTTGGTTTCTTTTATTCTGTGCATTATTGGAAGGTTGATTTTCTTTAAATTAAATATTATTAATATGAATTATTTGACATTTTAAATTTGGTATTGAAGCAATGTATTAAAATTTTGAAATATTATTCTGTGCAGTTATTTATTCCCGAATATTTTTGTGAGATTTTCGTACTCATTGTGATGGAGTCGTGAGCTCTTATTTATGAAAAAATATTATTGTTGAATTATTATGGCATGAGCCGTGAGCTCTTATTTATGAAAAAAAATATTGTTGATTTATTTTGACAAATTGAAATATTTGGGCACTTGAGGTGAAAATTGTGATATATTGTGATATTGATACGCATACGGTGGTATAATGTTTGGGTGTTGAAACGCATGCGGTGAGATAAGGATGGCTTGATACGCGTGACTAGTAGGGGAATCTACTAGAAGTCATGCGGTGTGATAAGGATGGCTAAAACGCGAGATGCTATTTCGGAAAAAAATATTTTCTTTAAAATAAATTGTGAAGGCTCCCGCGGTAATATAAGAAAATGAGATATTGTGAATTTATTTATGATTTGGGACTACGAGGCGGTACCTCGGGTGTGCCCTTGTTGATATTGATTTATGGCCGCAGTTGCCTTTGATTATTGTTGTGATTTTCTTAAAGTTGAAAAGAATTCTGTTTTTGTTTCCACGAGGTATTAATTGCCATTATTTGGTGTAATTAAATGGTGACATACTACTTGATTCATTTCCATTGTCATTTTATATTATTATATTGTTAAACATTTTACATGCCATTATTTATTTTCCAGTAGGGCCTGACCTGACCTCGTCACTACTCTACCGAGGTTAGGCTTGGCACTTACTGGGTACCGTTGTGGTGCACTCATACTACGCTTCTACACATCTTTTTGTGCAGATCCAGGTATATCTTATCAGACCAGACATCAGTAAACTAGTTGTACGAGAAGACTTCGAGGTATATCTGCCAACATCCGCAGACTCCGAAGTCTCCTTCTATCTTACTATATTGTCTTCCTTATTTGTTTTAGACTCTGATGTATAGAGACGTAGAGAATAAATTCTTAGAAGCTTGTGACTTATTTTACCGGATTTTGGGAGTTGTAATTGTTTGAATTGTAGTTTATTTATTTCAGATATTTATTATTATTATTATTCCGCATTGATAGGCTTACCTAGTATTAGAGAATAGGTGCCATCACGACCTCCTATGGAGGGAATTTGGGGTCGTGACACATTTGATGCTCTAATCTTCAACTGATGGTAGCCAAATCTTAGATCAATCTTCGAAAATACTTTGGCACCCTGAAGCTGATCAAATAAGTCATCAATCCTCGGCAATGGATACTCGTTCTTGATAGTGACTTTGTTCAACTGCCGATAATCTATACACATCCTCATCGAACCATCCTCCTTCTTCACGAACAACACTGGTGCACCCCAGGGCGAGACACTAGGTCTAATGAATCCCTTATCAAGTAAATCCTGCAACTGCTCCATCAGTTCCTTCAACTTAACTGGGGCCATACGGTATGGTGGAATAGAAATGGGTTGAGTGCCCGGAGTCAAGTCAATACAGAAGTCGATATCTCTGTCGGGTGGCATCCCCGGCAAATCTGCAGGAAACACCTCTGGAAACTCGCGCACAACTGGTACTGAATCCATGGAAGGAACCTCCGTACTAGAATCACGGATATAGGCCAAATATGCTAGACATCTCTTCTCGACCATATGCCGAGCCTTCACATAAGAAATAACTCTGCTAGTAGAATGGCCAAGAGTCCCTCTCCACTCTAATCGAGGCAACCCCGGCATGGCTAAGGTCACCCTCTTGGTGTGACAATCAAAAATAGCATGATAATGTGACAACCAATCCATACCCAAGATAACATCAAAGTCCACCATATCAAGAAGTAGAAAGTCTACCCTAGTCTCAAAGATCCCGATATAAACCACACACGAGCGATAAAAATGATCTACAATAATATAATCTCTCACAAGCGTGGACACATAGACAGGAGCACTCAAAGAATCATGAGGCATAACCAGATATGAAAAAAAAAATAGGATGATGATAAGTGGGGATTTTGGCTGCTTATTAGCACCTTTTATCTTTTGTTTTAGTCCGAAAGGATTGAATTGTGTTCCTGAAACTAATAAAATTGTGTAAAATTGCAGGAATGCTGGAAGGTTGGTCTCCCGAGATGAAATCCGACTCAAAAAGAAGTGTTCCGAAACACAAGACAATAAAGGGCGCAAAAGCACAAATGTGCGGTCCACAGAATTCCATCTGCGGCTGCAAACCAAGAAAAAAAATCTAACAGAATTTTCAGCAATATGCGGACCGCACATAACATGTGCGACCGCAGAACTAGGTTAGAGTCAAAGATCAGAGAGTATGCAAAAAGACCAAGTTCAGGAGCTTTTGTGAATTATGAACTGCAAGATAAANTGACTGGTTCTTTAGATCCAGATAATGCGAAGTGATGGGTTGGTTATTAGTTCTATAGTTTTTAGTTCATACTATGTGGGCTGGTCTTTTTTAATCCTAACCCTAAAAAACCAACGAGTCACACACTAAGCATAGCAATTATATCAAATGGTCAATCGAATTTTTATTCAACCTTATAGAATTAAGAATTAGAAATGTTTCCCTTGATTGATTAGAAAAAGAATGAATTTGTCTTTTTTTGTTCAATCATTGGATAGAAGGGAAAGACAAGTAGTAAAATTATTCCTCGTCTAGAAATATCCAAATTTTGATGCCCAATACTCCATAGATAGTTCGAACTGTATAAGAGCAATAATCAATTTTCGCTCGAATCGTTTGTAGGGGAACCCTACCTTCTCTGATCCATTCGACACGTGCAATTTCTTTTCCGTCGATACGCCCCGCAATTTGTATTTGAATTCCTTTTGTATCTGCTTGTTCTGTTAATTCAATAGCCTTTTTCATTGCTTTTCGAAAGGAAACTCTATTCTTTAATTGTCCAGCTATAAATTCTGCAAGAATATTAGGGTTTCCATAAGGTTTTGTGTGCGGATCGCAGATTTCCCATCATGGCCGCAAAACAGCCCTTTTACTGTCATCAGAGAGTCTACACTTTTTGACTCAAATGTGTGGCCGCAGGTCTAATTGTGCGGATCACAGAAAATAGGTTGCGGTCGCACATTACCCAATTCTCTGTCATCAGAGAGTTGGCACTTTTTGGGATTTAGAGGTGCGACCGCAAGTGAAATTGTGCGGAATGTACTTCACTTTTGCGGCCGCAAGATAAAATTGTGCGGTTAGCAAGTCCAAATCTGCAGCCGCAAGAAAATTGTGCGGATCGCAGATCTAGTTTCCTGCAAGTATGCTTTGACTGTGTACCCTCACTGTGTCTTCTAGTTTATATCTTACTCGCATGTCTCCTGGGTATGTTTGAACATTGAATTGCTACTAACAATCGCCTTTGCTTGATACAGACAATGGTTCGATCTAGGGGACGAGGCGACACATCTAAAGGGAGGGGTGAACCTTCTCGGGGTCGAGGCAAGAGTACCCTACCCCTTGGCCAACAAAATACAATTACAAAGAAAGCTACAACCGGTAGAGGGAGAGGTGCAGATCTCTCCGAGACGAGCTCATATGTCCCATCTAGGGAAGAATCAGAGGGCAACTCAGCCTCCGTTCATGAGTAGCCGGTCGTACAGTCGAGGCCGCCAGGGAGATACCAGCTCAGGGACGAGCCATCCTCATCTCATAGCACTTCTGAGGACTCAGAGAGTGCTAGTCAGGCTTTTGAGCCATCGGCTACCCCTGTCCCTGAGGCACAAGATACACTAGTTCAGGATATCCCCGATGATGGCAGAGGGCGAGATGCTACAGCTGTCAGCCTTGAAAGGTCGAAGAAGAAAGAGATTTGGGAGGACCAATTTGTTAGCTTGCCTGCCTTCACCAGCTTTTGTACATGGTGGCCAGTGAGGTCGCTAACTCTTGAGCGACAGTTTTAGTTGAAAGTTTGGAGAGGTACAACCCAGCAGTGTTGAGACAGTTCAGGGAACGCAAGGGGTGGATGTGGTTCACTCAAAGTGTAGTGGACGCCAAAGAGTACCTGGTCCGTGAATTCTATGCAAATGTGGATCACATCAAAAAGGGGACAAAATTGACTAAAATACGTAACGTAAAAGTGAGATTTGATCAGCATACACTCAACACGTACTTGGGCTTCGAAGATGTTGAGCCAAAGGAATATTTGGAGAAGTATTCATTGGGAGACGCAACCCAACCTTGGTTAGCGGAGATTCTAACAGCACCAGGGCCACAATCTCCATGGATTGCCGCTGGGGTTCCTATCCACCGGAGCACTTTGAGTTTGGAGGCAAAGGGGTGGCAAACCTTTGGCTGCAGCAGACTGGACCCGAGCCAGAATGAGACTTACCTTCCAATTCCTCGGGCAGTTCTGGTTGCTTCTATTATGGTAGGGTACCCTATCAATGTGGGGGCCGTGATGTCGGCCAACATCTCAGTGATTTCTCGGCAAGATGACTCGTCCTACCTGTATCCAAACACTATTACAGAATATTTCATGCAAGGGTAGAGCCGATGGATTATGACACAAAGGTGAGGTCGAAGAAGCCTTTTACTTGGTATTCACTGATGGGTGCGAACAATCCAAAGAAGAAAGTTCAGCCTCCTACCACCGCGAGCCAGTCTGATGAGCCAGCTACGGTAGCTGCTGAGGTAGTTGATGTTCCATCCACTTCAGTCGAGCCTTCCTTCAGTGCCGCAGCTATGCCTCCGCTATTATCCACAGCCCCTACTCCAGTTCCTTCCACAGCTCCCACCTCAGCTTTGAAGCCGGTGCCCATGCCTACTGTCCCACTTTCTGCGCTGCAATTCTCCCAAAAATTGGCGAGCCTCAACAACTGGATGCAGACAGCCACTACAAAGCTGTCTGACTTATCCAATGTTGTTGCAGCGCAGTCTTCTGTTCAGGCACCTCAATTTCCCCCGACAGTTGAAGAGACATTGAAGAAGCTCCTAGAGAACCAGAACACTATTATGGCTACCTTGGTACAGCATGGGTCAGTGATCGAAGAGCTGGGAAAGGAAGTAAAGAAGATGCGGATATCCCAGGCCAGCAAGAAGTCAGTGGATAAGCTCCAGAAAGAGGTGCACAGAATTGCTACAGTCGGAGATCTTCCATTTGACATGTTACTTGACCCGCATCAGTCGGCACCAGATCCTGCGGCACCATCTGCACTGGTAGCACCAACTGGCCAGTCTGACGAGCCAGACCTTGCTACCGACACTGCTGAGGCAGTGCGCGAGATGTTCGCCAACCCGGCCACACCCAGAGTCGAGGATGATGATATCTAATTGGTTGAGCCGGAGGGCGATGACATTGTTGGGGACACAGAAATGTCCAAGGAGCTATAGGGAGTTTTCTTCACACTTTTCCCTCTTTTACTCTTATTTTGTTAAGCATTGGGGACAATGCTTATCTTTATTCGGGGGGGTGGAGTTTATTAATTATATTTGATACATTTTGAGATATTTGGAATGTAATAACTTGATATTATTTTCTCTTTTCTTATTATGTATATATTCTCTCTCTTTGTCTCATTATATATATTCATTCTATCTTCAGTAGTTTTTGTTTATTAGCTTCTTTATTTTTGTTTTTTTATTAGTTCTTTGTTTGATTTAGTAGCTTCTTTGTTTGATTTAGTAGCTTCTTTTTATGTTTTAGTAGATAATAAGCCTTTGGATTTCTTAATGCCACGGTTCTTTCTAAAGGTAGTTGTTGCGTGAACCGGGTGACTCAACCCAACGATGGATGGCGTGACAACCTTCTTAAGGTAATGAGTCTGTTTTTGTGTTTAGGTAATAATAGTAGTAGTAATGAATAAAAAGACCTAATTAAGGCATGCTTGAAGAGTCAACCATGCTTCAATTGATACCAACACACTTAACTACGTGATTATGGTTAAAGACAAGGTTTTTGAAAGAAATAATTCTAGTTAGTAACTTTGTGACTCTTGTGTTGACTTTGGCAATCATCGAGTGGTTTAATTGGACCATAGTGATCTTTAAACTTG